AAAAAAAAAAAAAAAAAAAAATATATATATATATATATATATATATATATATATATATATCTCCAAGGATCAAACCTGGGGCACTTAACCACTGAGTCACACCTCCAGATTTTTTAAAAAAATATTTTAGAGATAGGGTCTCACTGAGTTACTTAGGGCCCTGCTAAGTTGCTAAAACTGGCTTTGAACTTGTGATCCTCCCGCCTCAGCCTCCTGAGCTGCTGAGATTACAGGAGTGTACCACTGTGCCCACCTCCAACTAATTCTAACACACAAATCTGCTGGGAATCACGGTGGGTTGATTTTAAATGATACTTTGGGCTGAGCCATGCTCAGAGGGCCCTGAATACACACCCCTAGGTGTGCTCAAGCCACCAGAGATCCCCACTGCAACTGCTGCTCCACCTCCTCCTCCATGACCCAGGACTAGTGCAGCTGCCATTGCCCTGGTTTCCCTGCATCTGGCTGCCACTGAAGCCAAATAGGTGTTCTTAAAACATAAGTCAGACTAGGTGAACTCTGCTTAAAACCCTGCGGTGGCTTCCTTTGCATTTGGAACAAGATCCAATGCTGCTCCAGGTGCCAAGGCCCTGCATGCCCAGCGCACCCCGCTCCCCACCAGGCCCCGCTGGCCTCCTTGCTGCTCCTCCACACCCACACACTCTCTTTAGGAGACTTTGAGCCAAGAGATCACATTTCCTGGTGTAACCCAGACCTCAAGGAGACCCTGCCCACCCACATCTCCCTCACCTCCTTCAGCCTATGGTCCTCCTTCCATCCTCATCCAAAATTACCTTGTCTCCACAGACCAGAATGTGAGCTCCATGAGGGACAGGTGTGTTTGTCTGTTGTCCCTCTGTGCCACTAGTGTCTTTCTAGCACAGCATATGCCAAGAGGGGGACAATGAGGACACTTGTTGAGTAACTGGATGGTGGACTAAGGCTTGGAAGTGACAGAGCTCAGCCCTATGAGATGGAGTATTTGTCCTAATAAGCACACTGTGTATGTGATCCAGGGGTGGCGGGGTTCCTACTGGGGTGAATACATGTGAATGGATGAATACACAGATGAAAAAATAATATATATATTGATGATTGGATGAATGGATAAGTGGATGGATGGATGAACTGGTGGGTTAATGGAGGAAGCTGGCCAGCTAGACAGGATAGATAGATAAATAGTAGAGCTATGATAAGTGATTGGTATGGTAGACGATAAATAAGAGTATAATAAAGAAATTGATGACAGATGATAGTAGAGAGATAAATGATAGATATAATAGAGATATAGATATAATAGATATAGTATAGATAGATAAGATAATTGCCAGTGTAATGCAGAGATGGATGAAGAGACGGGCGCTGGAAGGGAAGTTTGGGTGAATAAATAAAAACATAAACAGTATATTGACAGATAGGTGATGGGTTAATAAATATATATACAGGTACAGATGGAATGATAGGCGGTGAGTGAGGCGGTGAATACACAGGTGACTGAATGGAGGGCTGGATATATAAAAAGATGGATGGGTGAATAGTAAGCACAAAATCCAGAGCCTCATTACCCTATGGGCCTCAGTTAATAATGTATCCATATCGGTTCATCAATGGTAATAAATTTACCACATTCATACAAAAAGAAAGAATAGGCGGTCACAGGAGGAAGTAAAGGAGAAGTATGTGGGAATTCTGTACTTTCCAGTACATTTTCCTGTAAACCTAAAATTCTTCTCAAAAAGCAAAAAGTCTCAATTTAAATAAAGGTGGAATGAGTAAACAAAATTATGAGTGGTCAACAGATGGGTCGTAGAATAAGTGAATGCATGAAGGCCAGGTGGGGTGGCACACACCTGTGGTCCCAGCTACTCAGGAGCCTGAGGCAGGAGGATAATTTGAGCCCAGGTGTTCCTCCTGAGCAACACTGTGAGACCCCCATCTCAAATAAAATAAACCAATCAGTGAATAGGTGCATGGATGTAGGGGTAGAGAAATGGAATGTAAACGACTAAATGGAAGGATGGGCGGATGGGCAAAGGACACGGGGTGGCAGTATCTATATTGATGAAATAAAAAGCACATCGATAAACCAGTAGGTGATTGGACAAATAAATAAAGGTAATGAATGGACGGGTCATTGACAAGATGGATCAACAGGTGGACAGTGCGGTGACCGCGGGTCACACGCCCCCGGCAGCCCTCGCGAGCCCAGCAGCCCCGCAGGCAGCCACACCTTCCACGTATTCCATGACCATGCACAAGTGGCGCCGCGTCTCGAAGGAGCAGAACATGCCGACCACAAAGGGGTTCTCGGCGAAGGTGAGGATGTCGCGCTCCACGAAGGCCTGCTGGATCTGGTTGCGCAGGATCAAGTTCTGCTTATTGATCTTCTTCATGGCGAAGCGCTGCCGCGTGTCGCGGTGTCGCACCAGGTAGACAGCCCTGCAGGGGGAGAGAGCGAGGACCGGCCGTCACCTCCGAGACACCCGGCCTCCGCCACCCTTCCCCCGCCAGAGCCCCGGGTGGCTCACCCGTAGGCACCGTTGCTTATGAGCTTGATGGTATCGAAGTCACTCTCCCCGGGCGGTTTCTTGGCTTTGCTGCTGCTGCGGCCCTGCAGGGGAAAGCAGGAGGTCACCTTTGCCACCATCCTGACAGTGGGACTCCTTGTCATTACTGTTTTACAAATCGGGAAACTGGGGCACAGAGTGGGCAGGTGGGTCTGTCATACAAGTGCCACAGTGAAGAATTAACCCAAGACTGGCTCTGGAGATGTGTCTGCAACTTCTTCCCTTAGGAAGAGCAGAACACCTGCAGAATTGGTTTAATAAGCCTGTAAGGGCTGGGCATCAGACTAGCAGTCAGAGACAAGGGTTGTGCAGGATCAAGTTCTGCTTATTGATCCCAGAATCAAGATCAAGAAGCTTAGGGATGGAAGGGGAGAATAGGCAAGGGATGGGAGGTAGAGTTAGAGAGCTTATAAGCTTAGGAAGGTTGCTCAACCTCTCTAAAATGGCAGAAAGGCAAATTCCAACTACCCCAGCAATGATACCACCACTCCATAGCTAGCAGATGAGATGGGGGGGGGGGCGGGGGGAAACAAACAAACAAACAAAAAACAGAACCAAAGATTAACAAACTACAGATCAACATCCACAGATCAACAGAACTTTTATATCTCCATGTTGGGAGTGTAAATTAGCACAATGAGGCTGGGGGTGTTGCTCAGTGGTAGAGCACATGCTTAGCATGCCTGAGGCCCTGGGTTCCACCCCCAGCATTACCAAAAGTAAATAACTCTTGGCCAAGGTGGTGCCTGCCAATTTGAGAAGCTGAGGCAGAGGGATCAAAAGTTTAATTTAGTGAGATGCTGTCTCAAAATAAAAAAAATAAAAAGGGCTAGGGATATAGCTCAGGGGTAGAGTCCCACTGGGTTCAGGCCTCAGTACACACCCCCAAAAAAGTACAGCTCCCCTGGAAGGTACTCTGGTGTATATGAGAATTACAAATACTTGGTCTCGGGCTGGGGTTGTAGCTCAGTGGTAGAGTGCTTGCCTAGCATGTGCAAGGCCCTGGGTTCAATCCTCAGCACCACATAAAGATAAATAAATAAAATGAAGATATTGTGTCTAATTACAACTAAAAAATAAATGTTTAAAAAAAAAAATACTTGGTCTCCGATGCAGCAACTTCACTTCGGAGTTTGTGCTACAGATGCTTATGCACATGTAAAAAACTGCTCATGGGTCATGTGTAGCTAAAAAAAAAAAAAAAAAAAAACCTGCTCATGGCCAGGCGCCGTGGTGCATGTCTGTCATCCCAGCGGCTCGGAGGCTGAGGCAGGAGGATCACGGGTTCAAAGCTAGCCTCAGCAAAAGCGAGGCACTAAGCAACTCAATGAGACCCTGACTCTAAAAAAAATACAAACTAGGGCTGGGGATGTGGCTCAGAGGTTGCATGCCTGAGTTCAATCCCTGGCACACACACACCTGCCTCCCAATAAAAGCATATGTACTATCATGCTCATTGCAAGGCTGGAAATAATGCCTATGTTCATCTATAGGAAACTGGTTTAATAAACCTGTAAGGGCTGGGCCTGGTGGTAGAGGCCCGAAATCTCAGGCTAAGGCATGAGGATTGCAAGTTTAAGGCCAGAGTGGTAAATTTAGAGCCTGTGTCAAAATAAAGGGCAAGGGTGTAGCCTCAGGGGTAGAGCTCTTGCCTAGCATGTGTGAGGTCCTGGGTTCAATCCCTGGTATCACCACCAAAAAATATATATGTATCTTGTATGATTCTAATGATGTAGTCTAAAAATATCTGACTCAAAACTGACAGAATTACATGGAGAAGTTGCTCAAAACAAGGATTTAGGGGCTGGGGATGTGGCTCAAGTGGTAGCGCACTTGCCTAGCATGCGGGAGGCACTGGGTTCGATTCTCAGCACCATATAGAAACAAAATAAAGATACTGTGTTCACCTAAAACTAAAAAATAAATATTAAAAAAAACAAGGATTTAACATATATTTTAGAAGCAGCAGGTGAATCAGGCAAAAAAAAAAAAAAAAAAAAGAAAGAAAAGAATAGGGAAGCCAGGTGCAGTGGCACATGCCTATAATCCAGGCACTCTGAAGGCCAAGGCAGGAGGATCCCAAGTTGAAGGCCAACTTGGGCAACTTAAAAAGACCTGTCCCAAAATAAAATAAAGGCGAGTTGGGCATGTTGCTCAGTGGTAGAGTGCTTGTCTAGCACGTGCGTGACCCTGGGTTCCATCCCCAGTATTGCAAAAGCCAACCAAACCGGAACTTCTGCCAATGCTGTGGTGGAACAGGCTGCGCTATGTGGAGGCTTGCCCCTCAGCCATTTATGCTCCTGATCTGCAGTATGGGCAGTTTTCACCACGCCAAGGTGCCACTCACACGAGGAGCTAGTCAATTTATTCAAAGCTTATGTAATAAGTTGAATGAAGAGTTACCATAGGAGCGAGCAATTTCACCCTTAGGTATGTGTCCAAAAGAACTGAAATCAGTCGTTCAAATGAATACTTGTGTCTACATATTCATGGTAGCACTACCTACAACAGCCAAAAGTGAAAATCCAATGTCCTGTGAGATTGTAATATGTGTGTGTGTGTGTGTGTGTGTGTGTTTTGTTCTTTTGTTTGTTGGTTTGTCCTGGGCTTGAACCCAGGGGTGCTTACCCACTGAGCCACATACCCAGTCCTTTTTACTGCGCAAAATAAACAAACAGACAAAAAAAAAAAAAAAAAAGACAGGGTCCTGAGAACCTTCAGATGGCTGAAATGTGAGGTTCTGGAGAGTAGTGCCCCTAAAAAGGACATGGAAACTCAACTCAAGTGTCCCTTTCCACATACCTCCTCCTGTTATCTCTCCATTTGTATCCTTTATAATAAACTGGCAAACAGTGAGGATTTTCCTGAGGTCTCTGAGCCACTCAAGCAAATTAATCAAACCCAAGGAAGGTGTCTAGGAACCCTGATTGACGGCCTGTCAGTCAGAAGCACAGAGAAAACCACCTGGAACTGGTGGCAGGTGTCTAAAGTGGGCCAGGGGACCATCAGCACCGAGCTTCCAACCCCTAGGATCTGATCTCTCTCCGTGCAGACAATGTCAGGACTGAGTTAGTGACAGGACACCCAGCTGGCGTCCCTTGCTGCAGAATGGTTGCTTGATGGTGAAGAGAAACCCCTGCACCTTTAGGTCACAGGAGTCACCCGTGTCAATTGTGGTGTAAGCGTAGGGAAAGAAGCCAGGTGTGCTGGGGCACGCCTGTCATCCCAGCAGCTTGGGAGGCTGAGGCAGGAGGATCGAAAGTTCAAAGCCAGTCTCAGCAACTTAGCAAGTCCCTAAGCAACTTAGCAAGCCCTGGTCTCAAAAAAAAAAAAAAAAAATTAAAAAGAAGGGCTGGGGATGTGGCTTAGTGGTTAAGCACCCCTAAATTTAATCCCTGAAACAAAAAATAAAATAAAATTTAAATCCTGAAACATTATGCTAAGTGAAATAAGTCAGACACAAAAGGCCACGGAATGAATTATTCCATTCCTATGAAATATCCAGAATGGGCAAATCCATAGATTTAGAAAGTGTATCAGCGGTTGCCAGAGCTGGAGGAAGACAAGAATGAAGGCTGACTGCTTAATGGGTGTGATGCTTCTTTCTGAGGTTATAAGAAAGTTCTGGAACTAGACAGATGTAATGGCTTACAAAATTATAAATGTACTAACTGCCACTGAATCCTCCATTCTAAAGTGGTTGGGGATGCAGTTCAGTAACATGCATGAGGCCCTGGGTTCCAACCCCAGCACCACCAAAAAATTAAAAAAATAAAAATAAACAAAATGGAAAAAATGGTGCATTTTGCTAGGCATAGGGGCGGCGGCCGAGTTCCCAGCCACACAGGAGGCTGGGGCGTGGGGGCAGGAAGATGGCTGCAGCCCAGGAATCAGGGTCAGCCTGGGCAGCACTGTGAAACCCTGTCTCAGAAAGAAAAAGGTAAATTTTATGCTAGGTGAATTTTACGGTGATAAAAGGCCCATAGGGAGGGCGGTTGTGGCTCAGGGGTAGAGCGCTGGCCTAGCTGGCCTGTGCGAGGCCCTGGGTTGGGTCCTCAGCACCACATAAAAACAAATAAACAAATAAAGGCATTGTGTCCAGCTGCAACTAAAAAAAAAAAAAGAGGCCCATGGGGCAGGGGCGTGGTTCAGGGACAGAGCACTGGCCCAGCGCTCCCGAGGCCCTGGGTTCCATCCCCAGGACTTCCTCTGGCCAAAATAAAATAAAATAAAAATTATTTTTTAAAGAAAAGAAAAAGGGCAAAAAGCTCATGGAGGAAGAGCTATCTCAATGCCATCCTACAGGTGGGGAAACTGAGGCTCGCGGTGTGTGAGGGACGTGGTCCCACGAGACCCCAGAGGTCCAGCCAGTCGCAGGCAGAGAACGGGCAGGGAGCCCGGGGCAGGCGGGGGCCTACCTCGGAGAGCTCGTCCTGCTCTGGGGTGTTGGAGCCCCCGCTGTCCTGCTCCTCCAGGTGGACCACGTCTAGGGACAAGGGAGAGTGAGCCTGGGCGACCCGAGGCCAGGCCTGCTTAGCCACCGCGCCCCGGGCCTCCCGCCGCCGGCACCTGGGAAGGGGTCGCGGGTGAGGCCCAGCTGGCGGATGATGTAGCGGGGGATGTCCGTCTTGACGAGGTGGCCCTCCTTGGCGTGTCCCTCGGCTGCCTCCAGCAGATGGTAGAACTCCTCTGGGTTGAATTCCTGGGGAAGAACAGGGCGGGCTGGCGGTGGCTTCCTAGAGTCCCCACCCCAGCAGCGCCCCCGTCCCCACCGGCCAGCCCCCTCACCAGGCACTCCAGCAGCCGGGCAGGGCGCGAGATGATAATGAGCAATTTCTTCACCAGCTGAGTGACAAAGGCCACCTCCAAGCTCTCGGAGCGTTCATAGGCCTGAGGTGGGGGACAGAAGGGATTGGGACTCACTCACAGGCACCCTGCTTCAGCCAGGTGCCTCTCCCAGCCCCACAGGGTGAGAAAACTGAGGCCCAGGCTACACAGTAAAAATGATGATAATAATTATGATAACAATAATATTAATGATTATAGAAAGCACTGCCCTAAAACCTTGACTCATTCATCTTCGGAACAGTCCTATAGCTGAGTGTGGTGGTACATGCCTGTACGGTTACTCAGGAGGCTGAGGAAGGAGAATCAAAAGTTTGAGGCCAACCTCAGCAATTTAAAGAGACCCTGTCTTAAAATAAAAAATAAAGAAGGGACTGGAGGTACAGTTCAGTGGTAGACCATGTACTTAGCATGCACCCCCAGTACCAGGGTGGGAAAGAATGTGTAAACTCCCTTTTTTATAGAAGCACTGAGGCACAGAGTCGTTAAGTAGTGGGGCAAAAACTGCACAGCAAGTTAGTGATGAGCTGAATGTGAACCTAGACGGTCCAGAATTTGTGCTCTCAAATCCTGTGGACATAGTGGCAGCAGATGGATTGAACCTCAGTTCTGACACCTAAGTGGGTAATGACATCAATGTGCTGCCCTTCAGGACTGAAATTTCCCGGACTGTCTTCCCACCTCGGACCTGTTCCCTCTGCTCAACACACATTCCCTCTATCTCTTCTTACAGCTGCCACTTATTATTCTTGTCCCAATTTCAATCTCACATCCCCAGGGAGGCCTCCCTGACACTTCGTCCAGCTGTTCCCTTCTGTTCCATTCATAGCCCTATGCGTCAGGTGACATCATCACATTGCTTGATCTGTTTATTTCTTGTGCATCTCCAGCACCAGGATTTCGGCGGGGGAGGGGGTGGAATGTTTATCTACTGTGTTTCCAAAGCTCCAGCACACAGTATGGGTGTTCAGCAAATGCTATCCGTGATCATCGACGGGGCATTATTTAACCGACACACTGATTAAGTATCTACTGTGTGCTGAGCATTTGAGTCAAGACCTGAAGGAGGTGAGGAAGGTTAAATTCCCGCATCCCGCATCAGACCTAGGGTGGGACCACGTCCTTTTCTTCTACTCCGGAATCCTCAGCTCCTCACCAGCGCCTGGCAGGTGGTAGGGGCTCCCTGAATGGGGCGGGGCATCGGGCCTGATCTGAGTTCAGAGCCTGAGATGGTGGGGCCGGCCTCCGCGCACACTCACGTCCTGCAGCAGCTTCTCCAGGTTCTCCTGCAATTCATAGAAGTAGACGGTAGTGATAAGACCATCGCGGGACTTGGTCAGGCAGTCCCGGGCCAACTCGATGATCTGGTGGTGGATGAAGCTGAGCACACCGTCGGCCAGCGGCAGCACGCTGTCAGGTTCGTAGGCGCGGGCAAAGTCGCGCAGCTTTTCTTCCATCTGCGCGGTGGCCTGCGGGAGGGACCAAGACAGGGCGGAGGTCCCAGTGCCAGGCAAAGCCCTGAGGCTGTCGCCGCCGAGACTGTGCTGTGCGCGCCGGCCACCAGGGGGCGCGCGGAGCCAAGGCGAGCGAGCAAGTGCCCCCGCGGGCCCGCCTCCCCTTGGCCTCCCAGTGCCCGGTCTCACCTTGGGGAACCGCTCCTTATAGACATGGTTCATCATCACGATTTCGTTATCGTAGGAGGAGGGGGAGCGGCCGGGGCTGTGGGGAGAGAAGCCCCATTCTGTTTATCCCCCTGCCTCCGAGCCAGTCCTAGATCCACTTTATTTTTACTGTATTTTAAATATTTTTTGGAACTGGGGATTGAACCCAGGGGCACTCTACACTAAGCCACATCCCCAGCCTTTTTAAAAAATATTTCACTTTGCGACAGGGTCTCGTTAAATTGCTTTGGGTCTCGCTGAATTGCTGAGGCTGGCCTCGAACTTGCGATTCTTCTGTCTCAGCCTACCAAATCGCTGGGATGACAAACATGCACCACCGCGCCCAGCCCTAGGTCCACTTTATTTTCTGGGGACCTGGGTCCCTCAATGCACAAGTCCCCAGACCGCCAGCTTGGAAGGGGGGGGTGCCTTCCTACCTGAGGCTCCGCGATCGGGGTCGCACGGCCGGGGAGCGGCGGCCCCCATCCTCGTCGGTGATGCTCTCAGTGCTGCCGAAGTGTTTGGACAGGAAGTGGAGCTCGTCCACGGTGGGCTGGTAGGGGAGCTGGTGCAGGCGCTCCTGGGAGGAGCAGGAGGACTAGGGGGAAGGGTGGGGTCGGGATCAGCCACTGGAGCAACCACAGTGGGCTGAGATGAGACACTAGACAAGGCCAGGTTCACGCCATAGATCCTGACCCTGGCCTTATGGTTTATGATCCTTAGATCCCAGGGACCTGGTTGGGACTCCTGGCAACAGTCAGGTGAACAGAGACAGATGAGGCCACTGGCAGAGACATGGAAATGGCTCCCACCTGAGTCCTCCCCTCTAGATCACAAGATCCTGCCCCATCTGGCCCTGTTTCCGGTCACTGCCCCCTCCCACTCTCCCCCTTGCTTGCTCTGCTCCTGCCATACTGACCATACTGACCTCCTTGATCCTTAAGCAAGCCAGGCAGGCTCTTGCTTCAGGGACTCTGCACTGGCTGTCCCAACGTCTGGAACATAGCTGCTCAACTCACACCTTCCCCTCCACATCTTTGCCTTAATGCCGTCCTATCCCATTTTTACTGCTTTATCCCCTGACATCCCCTTATTATTTACTTGTTACTGCTGTCTATTCCTCAAGAACAGGGGTTTGGCCCTATTTGGTCCCTGGTGGACAAGGCCTGGCATCAACTGGGACAGACCCACAATCACCAGTGGGGACACACAAGGACATCCATATGATTTGGCCTGCATTCAGAATAGGCTTTTTTATTTTTTTATTTTTTTTTAGTTGTAGATAGACACAATATCTTTATTTATTTTTGAACCTGGTGCCTCATACATGTGAGGCAAGTGCTCTACCACTGAGCTTCAGCCCCAGCCCTCAGAATAGGCTTTTTAAATTTCACATCACCCACTGCCTGCTTAAAACTCCTCATATCTAGCAGGGTGTAGTGGTACCTGCCTGTAATTCCAGATACCTGGGAGGCTGAGGCAGGAGGATTGCAAGTTAAAGGCCAGCCTCAGCAATTTAGTGAGACCCTAAGCAACTTAGCAAGACCCTGTCTCAAAAAAAAAAAAAAAAAATTTAAGGGTTAGGGAAATAGCTCAATTGTAGAGCAGGCCCTGTGTTCAATCCCTAGTGTCAGGGGAAAAAAAAAAAAAAAAAACTCATCCACATCTATTTTTAAAAAATAGGGGCTGGGTATGTCACTCAGTGGTAGAGAACATGCTTAGCACATTCCATGGAACCCATGTTCCTGGGTTCCGTCTCCAATTCCACACATATAACAAAGGCATACTATCTGTGAACTACTAAGTGACAATTTTAGGTTGTTCAAACTGAAATTTTACTACAACTTAATATGAAGCAATATAGTTGTTCTAGAGTTTCTCCATTGGATTTAGAATAAAATCCACCTCCGTGTTCTGGTCCCAGAAAGACTGAGGTCACTGCCTGCATCACCTCTTTCTCCCTCTCCAACCCAGCGCTCCACACAAGGCTACTTTCAACTTTCCAAATACAGCAAGTTTTCTGTGGCCTCTGGGGTCAGCACAAGCTGTCCCCCTTCCTGGAACAAACTTCTCCCTCTCTTCCACCTGCCAAACTCAAGCTGACACTTTGTCTTGGCTTCAATGCCACCTCTTCCAGGAAGTCTTCCATGAAGCTCCCCCAAGCTGAGTCACATGCCCCCCCCCCACCAAATGACAGTCACATGATCTTTGTCTGCTCAACAGCATACCAGAGACAGAAGTAGGAAAGGAGGCAGATGGAGAGGATTTTGAGGGATTGGGAGTGGGGACAAGCAAATGGGTTCAGGGCAAAACCTGTGGCCTGGCTGTGGCTGGCTGCAGGCACCTGGGCAAGTGGCTTAACACTGAGAGTTTGAGCCTCACCATCTACAAATGAGTTGGAGCTGAGTAGAACTCCCAGGAAAGTGCGCCGGGGCAGAGACCAGGGCTTTCATGGTGGGGACTGCAACTCTAATAGATGGACAAGTGGACACCCGTGACGAACAGAAAGTGCAGCCTGGGTGCTGGCCTGGGTGCTGGCCTGGGCAGCAGGCTACAGGTGGAAGGGCCCCTCACCCCACAGCCACCGCACCACCACACTCACCGAGACGGTGGAGCTGGGCGTGTTGGTGCCATAGCCAGATGAAGGGAGCGAGGCCAGTGACCAGCGACGTCCATCCGCCCTGGAACCCAACCGAGGTGCTCAGAGGCCACCAGGCCCCATAGGTCCCCCATTCCTTGAGGAGTGGGAGAAGCCACTAGCTATGGCCAGGGCAGGGGTGTGGGACTCTAACTGGACTCTGTGACTACTGACAGCCCTCGGAGTTAAGGGAGCCGCGAGGTGGTCTTCTGGCCATGCAACTGCGTCTTCTCAGAAGCTCCTGTCTCCTCTGTCCCTCCTCGTGATCCTCCCTTGCTCGGTTTTATCCCCACACCAAACAAGCCCGCCAGGGGGGACACCAGGCAGACTGGAAAAGCCCACCTAAGGAAGTCAAGCTCCAGGATCTCAGAAGTCCACCTCTAGGGAAGCTCCTCCCTGAGAGGCAGAGCCTCTACCTTCTCAAAGGAGAAGGCCCTCCCCACACACAGCCTCACTCCCAAGCCTCACACTCTCTGAACATGCACAGGGACTCCCACCACACCCTCAAGTGTTAGTGTGACTAGTGTGGTCAAGTTCATGGACTTACAATCAGTCATTCTTACTTCACACACACACACACACACACACACATATGCACACAAGTGCACACACACATGGTCCTCAGCACACTCCTCACTACATTCATCATCCTACATATGGACCCAAATACACATGCAAGCACAGACATTCACTCATATACACTTGCAGAGACCCAAGACACACTCACACATCAGCTCACACATACTGTACATTTGCACATTCATGCAGAAGCACATCTAAGACTGTCTTAGTGCAACACATTTAAACTCACACAGCCGCATGCTCACACACACACAGATGCACGTTTCCATAGATACATGCAGGCGGCGTGTGCTCCTCACATCTATGTGCTTGCTCATACACGCATTCACACTCCCAGTTCATATACTCTCCTGGAGACACTCGGGGGGTACACCTCCACACAGTCACACACAAGTTCACACACACGGATGCACATACCCAGGGAGGCATGTGTGGGCCCATGTGTCCTCACACACACACTTACACACAGCCACATAGACGGCACAGTCAATGGACACACACACTCCCATATTCCTTCCTCCCCACATGCCCTGGCTCAGCCCACCCACCATCCAGATGAGCATAGCAGGACAATCCTACAGCTTGGTCCTGGCTCCCTATTGCCTTCACTTAAGTTCCATCCCCCCCCCCCCCCCGCCCCCGTCCTCCAGGGAGTTGTCCTCTGTCCCCACCATTCCTGTGACACCTGCCCCAGACTTCATCAGTTTTTGCAATACTCCCCGTTCTCTGCCCACCCCACTCAATACTAAAAGTAGAAAGGTGTCATTCACCTCGAATGTGTAGCTCCTAGCACATGCTGGTGTTCAGACACCGGTTTTTTAGAATGAATAAAATTCAAAGAAAATGAGACCCGCCCCGACTGCTGGTGACTCCCCAAAACTTTCTCCAAAAAAGATGACCTTCTCAACCTCCCCCAAAGGCCCCCAGAAAATTAATTTAAGGTTGCAACACAGGCCCTCAGAAAACCTCCCAGGGAAACCTGAGTCCTCGCGTTGGGACCTGGAGAAATGGCCGGCCATAGCCACCCTCCCCCACCTCAGAGACCAACTCCCTCCATGGGCATAACGCAGTCTGCGCTTGCGCACCTGGTCTCAGCTACCCTGTCCTGTTGCTATGGAAACAACCGGCCAGGAGCCGGGCTGGGGAGGAGACCCTGGGCCCAGAGCGCGCACGCGCTCTCATGCTGAAGCAAAGAAGGCCCGGCACCCTTTCCCATTCAGGATCAGCGATTGGCCCCGCCCTTTAATAGACCCCGCCCCTCAGTCTGGGCGCTCCTTTCCGCTGGGACCTTGGGGCACTCCACTGGTCCCCTCAAGCCTCAGATCGGGTAAATTAGGAGGAGAACAGATGGCGACGCAGACGGTGGGTGGAAAGGGCCCTGACAGGGTTCTGGGACCCTCAAGGGAGGGACTCACCTTCGGGAGGAGGCAAATGAGAAATGGGCGGGGGTATTGGGAGAGAAGTTGCGGGGACTGTCCAGGGGGCTGCTACCTGTTGTGGAAAGAGAGGATGTTTTTGGCTTGAGGTGTGGGGCAATTCCCATCCGGCCATCTAATAACCAAAGAGGGTTGCAAACAGCAGCCCATCTCCTTTAGTCTAGTCCCACCATGTATGGTAGGCCACGCCCCTTTGGTTGTGGCCCCGCCTCTCCAAACATTTTTAGGTGGAAGGTTTAGTTTTAGTTTTAACCTTCATCTGAGATGACCCCGCCCTTTAGCTATGGCTCCGCCTTTCATCTCTACCCGCTTTCCAATCCAGCTTCTCCTGAGCCTCTGCCCACCCATGCTTTTCACTCCACCGACTGACCACACCATTACAAGATAGCCCTGCCCCTTGTTCAATCCGAGTCCTCCTCTTTCCAGACAGCCCCTGCCTGCGGTATGGCCATGCCCCCAAAACTAGGTCTCCTATAATCTGGTCCACCACACCCATCAAAACTGCACCACTTGTCTCACCCAAGTGGCCCGGCAGTGGGGAGTGGGGTCGAGGCAGCGTAGGTGAAGTGCTGGTCAAGATGAGGCTTTTCCGGTTACTGGTGCGGCAGCTGTGGGGAAGGTGGGGGTGGGGGGCAGGACAGAATGCAACCCACTGAGTTCCTGCCCATCCAGACACCCTCCCATCTCAGATCCTCACTTCTCTCCCATCCAGGTGTGTTTGAAGATGCCCCTGGAGGACTTCTTGGAAGAGGAGGCAATGGAGGCCTCTGCAGTACCGTGTGTGGCAGGGGAAGCATGTGAAACCTACTTGAGACACTCCCAATGTAGATTATGTGTGGCCCTCTGGAACCCAGTGTCAATTACAATGTGACAGTCATGGTGATACCACTGATGATCCTGGGTGTGTGTCCTTGGCTCTGTGCTTGACATTCAAGTGTGTATCCATGTGTGGCATCCACTGTATGAGTTCAACATTGTGTGACATTGTGTGCATCCAAGAGTGACATCATGTGTAACCCAATTGTGCTTTGAAGGTCTATGTGAGACAGTATGAACTTGACTTGTCCATGACTATGTGTTCTGTACAATGCATGATGAATGAGTTCATGTGTTTAAGATTTGGTGGAGCATTCTGAATCTTTGCAAGATACTGGCCTGTGTCTGTGTGTCACATTCACCATGTCTGGCATCTTCTGTGTGTGAGTTTAACATCTTGTGACACTGGGCATGTCCAAGCATGTCATCATGTATGACATTCCCTGATGAGTCTTGTGTGTGATAAAGCATGGTTTTGTGTGTTTCTCTGTCTCTGCAAGATTCCCTGTGTTTGTCCTGACATCAGTGTGACACAGCAAATGACATGACCGGGGATGATATCTTGTGTTTTGACATCGTTAGGTGCATGAATGTGTCATCACCACACATGTATCTGTGTGCATCTTGGATAGCAAGACTGTGTTTGTTAATGGCGATGCTTGTGACACACATTTTACTAGGGATACTTGATGTTGTATCTGTGGATTTACGAGTCTATGTGTGACACCACTGATGTCCCGTTTGTGCATGGCTTTGACCTGTGGCTGATGCATGCCTGGTTGTATGGCTGGGTATGTGTGGCACCTCCCGGCATATCTGGGCCACTAGGGCTGTTGTGTGTGTATGTGTGTGTGACATCATGTCCTGAGTGACGCTGTGTCACTATATTCAATGTGAGGCTATATTGGGGGGATCTGAGCTATGATACAAGACCCCCTTTTCTTCTGCCTTTCAAGACACCAGCTCCTGAAGAGGGAGCCCCCAGCCCCTCCACCCCCTCCACCCTCAGCCGCAGTGACTGAGCACATTAGCACGTCCAGGAGCACGCGGTATGGGAGTGGGGGGAGGCCAGGCTGCGGCTATTGTTCTGAGGGTGCCAAGCCCCCCACCCTCCCCTTCTTTCCCAACACCCACCAGGCTGGCAAAGCCCGTAGCACCAGAAGACAAAGGCTCTGCAACCCCCACCCGGCCAACCCCTCCCCCTGCGGCCATCTATCCAGTTTGCAGTCCCCCTGCTCGGAACCCGCACCGCCCAAATTGAATCCCATCCCGGCGGGAAGGCGAAGCGCGGACACCTCTGGCGCAGCTGGACCGGGAGCAGCATACCGGGCCCCGCCCTGCTGCAGCAGCCTAAGGGGCGGCTTTACGCGGAGGGCCGGGACAAGGTCTGGGGGTTCGGGGGTCTACCTCTTGGTGCGGCGGAACATACTGCCGCCGGGGAAGGAGGGCATCGAGAAATTGGAAAGCGCGGTCCAGAGAGAGTCAGACATGACCCGGCGGCGGCGACATGGTGGCAGGTGCGGCAGCAGCAGCGACGGCGGCGCGGGGAGCGAGCGCGTGGGGCGGAGGCTGGAGCCGCAGCGGCCAGGGGAGGGCGGGGGAGGGGAGGGCCCTGCGGCTGCAGCCGGTCGGGAGGGGGCGCTGCTGTGTGTCCGCGCGCCCCGCCCCGCCTGCGCGCGCGCCTGGCGCCCCCACCCGGGCCGAAGAAAGGGCAGCCAGAACAGTGCGTCTCTTTCCAAGGCTCACCTGCTGCTTTTCCGGGGCAGGGGCAAATCCTTCTGGAAAGGAAAGGGGCAAAAAGATGGAGGTCAGCGTGGACCTGTAGCCACTACTCACAAAGCCACTGAGCAAGCCCAAGGAACAGAAGTAACGTGGAATGGTCTCGTCAGCATCTTCACCTTCATCCTTGGCCATGCATTGAGGAGAGTGTCCCAGGGTGACTTTTCTCCTGATCCCCAAGGACCAACACAGGGTCAAGTACACAGAAGGGCCCTATATAGGGCTGCTGGGTTGGCATCTCAGTGCATGTTTGTGCAAGTGAAGCAGAAGTCTTTATTCGAAAAATACTTTGCAAGCACTTACAGCACTAGCTAGGTGTGAGAGACAGCGGTGAATGGGAAAAAAAAAATCTGTCCTTTAAGGGTAGCATTTAGAGGGACAAGCAGACACCAAATAAGATTAATGTTAAAGCAAAATAAATAACTTTAGACAACGTGTTATGAATAGAACTAGACAAAGTAATATAATGTAATATAATGGACATGACTTGAAGGGAGCACATGGCCAGAGGGGGTATCTCCGGAGAGATAACTTTTGGTCTGAAATATAAGAGCCAGCCATAGGGGGATCAGCAGAGAGAGAATAGTAGGTGGTGGGAGCTGCAAGGGCAAAGGCCTGAAGGCAGGAATGAGCTTAGCATGCTCCAGAGTGAGATGCTGAATGAATGAATGACGCCTCTGCAGTGAGAGTCACAGAAGTGGGGGTGGTAGATAGTTAGGGTGGCTCAAAACAGACTTGAAATGAGAATCTGGTGGTGGCCAAGGGATCCTTTTTGATGACAATGGTAGTCATTGCTGGCTATTAACTTTATGTATCCACATTCGAAGAAGTTCTTTTTTCTATTTTTCTAGCACTTAGGAAATCACTGCAGATATCGGAAGTTACAGAGTCCCTGAACTTTTTAAGGACAGCCATGGGGATAAGGAACTTCAGTTTCCGACCAGTTCTGTATCCAAAGGCTGAGATGGAGTGATTTGGGTTGGGTAGGGCTGCAGGTGGAAAGATTTGGGTGAGAGTTTCAAAGGGTCTTTTGAGCTGAAGATGTAGCTCAGTTGTAGAGCACATGCCCGTGAAGGAGGTCCTGGGTTCTATACCCAGCTCAGGGCTGGGGAGGAGGTGTTGAAAAAGTGTTTGAGTGGGCTGGGGATGTGGCTCAAGCCGTAGCGCTCGCCTGGCATGCCTGCGGCCCGGGTTCGATCCTCAGCACCACATACAAACAAAGATGTTGTGTCTGCCGAAACTGAAAAATATATATTAAAATTCTCAAAAAAAATGTTTGAGGGGACTTCAGGGGGAGGGGGATGTATGTTCTAGACCCTTTTGAGGATTTCTGAAAAAAAGAAAACCTGAGTCCAAAAATACGTTTTGCCTTTTATGACCTTGGCATGTGGTCTACATTGTCCCCAAGAGTTTCTTCTGTCAGATGACACAGGTGCCTGTGCCTAGCATGGTGACTAGCACATATTATGTACTCAATAAAAATTCAATCAAAAGAACAGGAGTTATGGATAGACATGCTGCATGACAGAGAATTAGTCAGAGGGTCTTCCCACTCCCATGAACTAAGGACAGATTTTTGCATGGGGTCAAAGGTCAGCCTTGCTATCCCCAGCCATGAATGACTAGAAATCCAGACCCGGTTTTCCCTCTGCCTTTTCACGATCGGCTTGAATGACTCGCTGCCTAGACCTGGGGGACTAAAGCTGCTGGTCCTGCAATGGCCCAGGCAAAATCAAGACCTGGATTTTCTGGCCACGGAGCTCAGGAACAGACCTGGTTAACTTGATCTTGGGAGATAAGCCCCTGGGAGATCTTTACCACCCGAAAAGTCCTCAAACCCAGCCTCATCTGCTAGCGCCCGCAAACATTCTAGAGCCAAAGAAAGGGCAAACTGGAGCTGCGGAATTCAGATCTTTGTCGTCAATGAAGACAGAGTTGCAAAGTCGCTCTGCGGAGCGGATGCTGCTTCTCCCTAAGATTAATAAATGGATGGCGCTATGGAAGAGGGAGGCATTCGAACTCGCGAAGCTGTTCGTAAGTCTGATCCCAACGCACTCAGCAGACCCTTGGGCGCTCAGCGGTGGTGGGACATCCTAAGAAGGTGCACCCGTGAGTGTGAGTGTATCCAGGCACCGAAATAGTTAATTCTACCAGATAGAATAAGGAGGGGGCAGCCTTCCAGCTAGGGTCGCCAGACCAAGTGCACGTGTGGGTTGGGTAGGTGGGTGAGTGGAAGGATGCAGGGCTGGGGGAGGGGTCTTGCGCGGGAAACAGAAGTCCCGCGTGGCGCTGAGCCAATGGAAGTCAGAGCCGGCTCGGAGGGCGGGGACATATCACTTGCAGGCCCCGCCCCTTCCCTCCCTTTTCGGAGGGACCCGACGGCGCCGACCCAGCTTCGCTGCTGCAGCACTTGATCTAACTTTGCCGCAGCTCCCTCCCTTTTCTCAGAACCTATTTTCCTAACCTAGCCCTGGAAGGAGGATGAAACCCGTGAGGAGGATTTTTGAGAGGCCTAGGCTCCAGATCTGGCCATATGAGCTCACTTTGAAAGCAAATCAACTTTCCAACCTGTCTGGCTTCACTATCACCCAGACACCTGGGAAGTTCTTTCTGCCTTCTAATCTTCACTTTTCCTGCCACATTGACCGATCAGCTCCCTTTGGTCTCCGACCTTGGGAATAATGGACAACTCCCAGGTGAAGACTTCAATCTTCCCCTTGTTTCCCTAAGGTCCAGGCTGAAGATGGAACTTGAGTCTGGGCCATACTTGGCTTTATCTAAATTCAAGAGTAGCAATCGTGAAGCTGATCTCCAAGAAGGCTCAGAAGGGCCAGACCCCAAGGTTTTGCCTTGGAGCAAATTTAAGGAACCACACTCACATCAAACCTCCCTATTAACTCCTCAGAAGCACAAGCCCAAGACAAGAGCAGAGGATCCTTCTCAGCTTCAGAATCCCTACCTACATTTGAAGTGGGAGCTCCTGACATCTGGATTTGCCCCCGCCATCCCTTCACTCCACAACCCTCAGTGTCCCACTCCGTGCAGTGGACCCACGCCTCCTGCGCCTGCGCAGCCTGGAGACCAGCATCCTCTAAGGCTGCAAGGAGCTAAAAATCGCTCCCGCCCACCTACAAGCTGGGCTGGACTTGAGGATCTCGGTCGTGGGGAGGGGTGTTGTAGTGGAGGGTGGTGGAATGAAGAGTGGGGATGCTGCCTAGGTGCCGGTCCAATTAGGGCAGTAGGAAGAATCCTGGTGGCCACATAGGTCCATTGAGGGTGTGGGTCCCACGCCTCCGAAAAGGCTCCTGAGGTGGTGAGGGGCGAGGCCACCGCACTAACATGTTTACGGCTGCTGCAGCGCCGGTGGCCCCGAGGGGCGCGAGCCCTGGGGCAATAACTTTGCAAGGAGCCCCCACACCCCCAGACTGGCTAGACTCCAGGAGGATGACTTCGACCCCATGCCCCTCCCCCGCCCGCGGTCCAGGTGCCCCTCCGGCCGGCCTCGAGGGGGAGCGCTAGGCTTCACCCCTTCCATCAGCTCCCAGGATCTCCGGGCGGCGCCTGAGGGGCGGGTCCCCAGCGCAGCGGGACGCGCGGCCACCGCGTTCCCTGCTGGTAGCTTCCCGAGGCGGTGGGAGGGGGTGCCCGATCAACCCAGGCGCAAGTTCTCCTACCTGACCCCGCCCCAGGGCGCCGACCCCTTCCCCTCGACCCCGGCCCGGGCTGCCGCGTACCTGCAGCCTCCGGCGGCGGATCAGGCCCGAATCGTCCATGGCGGCGGCGGCGGCTTCGGCCCCGGGGAGGGAGGAGGGAGGCGGCGGCGGCGGCGGGAGGAGGGAGGAGGGAGGGAGAAGCCGCGGGGACCGCGGCGGCGGCGGTGGCTGAGGGGGGGTGGCGGGGGCGGAGCGAAGTGGGGCGGGCCCGCGCCGTCACTGCGTCTGGGCGCCCGAGCCTGGCCTTGGCCACCGCTGCCCGCGTTGGGAGGAGGAAGGGGCGGAGGGGGAGGTGGAGCCTCCAGATGTCCCCAAGGGAGCCTTGCTACCGAGAGACCCCCATAGAGACACTCCAAGAGAGAGACATTCTCATGCAGGGAACACCCCAAGGGAGGCATTCTCTCTGAGATGTATTTCCTCTGCGGACATCCCCCGCCCCCCGAGATTCCCACGGGGAGTTAGTGTCTGCGGGGATGCCCTCTCCAATCAAGAACAGTCCCTCACCCTGAAAATCAATCCTAAGAGAGCTGTTGTCTGAAAGGTGATGCTTCATCTCAAAGCGCATCCCTTCCCAAAGAGGATCCCATGGGTGACATCATGTGGGAACTCTGGGGAGGATATCCCCAATGAGAGCCCCCTGAAAGCCATATTCTCTATGGGAAATTGTCCCTATCCATGAGATACTCACATCCAAGAAATTCACATCCAAGAAATACATTCTTACAGAGTGACATTTTCACTAAGGAGACTCATCCTTGCGGGAGATGTCCCCCCAAAAAAGGGGCACATATACCCCTTTCCCCGCCTCTCCCAGGCAGACCTTCCTCATGGACCCTGCGGTGTCTCTAGCGTCCCTTCCCTCACGGTCAGGATTAAGGAGTCAGGCCAGGTCGGGCTATATTTATAAGAGCGATTATCTAGTACTTGGGGAGGGGGGCTGTTGAGGAGATTTTCACTCCCGTCCCCCGGTGTCCACACAGCTGAGGCCAAAAAGGCCATGCTTACTGGGGCTGGAGAGGAGAGTGTCTAAATCCTCCCCACTCCAAATTTTGG